TATTATATATTTGTTAACAGTATTTGACAAAAGTGTATAGAAAAAAATCCCTTTGGGGGAATGAAACAGTACAAACAACTTAAAGAGGAAGGTGAAACCACTGGTGCCAACTATCATGCCTTGAACATTTCTTGCTGGGGTCATGCGAAAAGAAACCAACTTGTTCGAAATTCCACAAGCCTTGGTGACAACCCAATGAGCACGTCTGACAATCTTTGGTTTCACAGGCATCGGCAAGAAGTAAAAGTCCTATGTGGAGCCACGGATTTAACGATAGAACAGCCCTGACTTCGTTGCTGTGGAGCCAGGAGTGGACGCACCCCATGGGCTGCGAATAAGGTTGCAAATCGAGCATCCGCAGGGCTGGGGCCGTGGCAGGGCTGATGCCGGGCAGCAGCTGGTCAGGCGGCCCTTCCACGGACAGGACTCGCAGTGCGGGCAGCGACGGCAGCGCGCCTAGCAGCGGCTGTAGGGAAAACTCGTCGTCTCTCGATTTTGCGTCATCCCTGATTGTAAGTTCCCGGACGCGAGACTTCCCACGCGCGGCCAGTGCCAGCGCCAAGCCCACGCCGACGTCACCAGGATGGTCCGGGGGATGAGCACTGACAATCAGGCTCACTCGGCGCAGCTGCGTGGCGCGGCGCAGAAAGGCTGCCCCTTCCTGGATGGGCGGGATGGGGTTTCTCTTTTCCGTCCTCACGTAAAGGAACACGGTCCTGAGCGTCGCGCATGCTGCCAAAGCCTCCATTCCTGGGAGCAGGGGGCACTGAAGACGCCAAAGATTTGGTATGCCGGCCAACAGGGGGGCTAGTGTGCTTGAAGCCTTGCCGCTGTATTCCCAGTCGTCGTTAAGGAAAATCTCTTCCAGGGTAGGGATGTATTTTTACGGTAAAATTAAAATTTAGCGGTAATTTACGTAAAATACCGTAAATTACGGTAAAAAACGGTAAAATTGGTAAAATTCGTTTTTTGATGTTTTATGGCCAAATTCAATGTTTTCATTGAAAATATGACGTTTTCGGGTGCGTCATAACGAAATATTAGCAGTTTAGCATAGGAGAAACATTGATTTGACGTTTTTAGCCCACGCTTCTCCTTTTAAAAGTTATCCAAACGTCCTGGTGCGTGGAGTCCCGGACCGCCATTATTTGGGGTGTACTCCAAGCGTACTCCGGGGGACTTCAGGTGTGGTGTACTTCAGATGTATACTTCGGGCGCTTAACACTCAGCCTGTGTCGCCCAAAATTTTGAGTCTTAGACTTCTCTATCTGATGTCGCTCGGTCCTATACAAAAAGGAAGTCATATCCAGGTACTGATTTTTTGCCGCCAGTAATAATGTGATGTTCTGCGTTGCAAGAATAATGTCAGAAAAAACGTTATCACATACACGTGATATTTTATTTTTACAAACTAAGAAATTGGCATATTAGAGTGTACATATTGAACGAAACGGTGCGGTGAAATTGACAAATTGATCAGTAACTCCTATTGCTGAAAATTCTCATGTTTTTGACTGATAAAATTATCAGTACAGGTCTGAGAGTGTAGACACTTGGACTATTTAGGGTATCGTGATCGTAGAGGTCACTACTCAACAGTGTACGTCGAATACACACAGATTCATCTGCGTTTTTGCGGTAGCTTTGCCTATTGAAGTTTATTTTGAAAATTACCAATAATACCAATTTTACCGGGGTTTGTGTAATTTACCGTAATTTACCGGTATTTTACCGTAATGTACGGGTAACATTACCAATGCGTACATCCCTATTCCAGGGTAGATCGGTGCGCACTTATTATAGAGTTGCAGAAGGGCTCCGTCTCTGGTTGCAGGGTACACTCAAATCTCTTCAAGCTGGCCGTGGGAAATGGGTTGTGTACAGCAGGTGGGGGACCGACCGAGGGTGATGTGATGCTGATGCTCCCTGAAATGTCGAGTCGTACGAGCCCGGCCGTCGACACTAATGTCCCGAGCAGCACGAACAACCCGGCCTGAGATGTCCACCTGAGGTATATTGCTACGCTTCTCAGCCGGCCGAGTGCCTCCTGATTGCGGATGGCGCAGGCAGCGTGCATGGCGCCGTCCTCATCCACCTGCAGCCTTAAGTCAGCTACGGCACACCTAGTCGTGTACAGCATGTGGCACTTCTTCTGCGGGACCCTGCAGTGCGCCTTCTGCAAGCACGGTGCGAGCCGGAGCACGGTGCACGCCAAAGGGTCGTCGTACTTGAGCGTCCGGAGCCGCCACACGTCCCGATGCAGGGCGAGGTCCCGGAGCCTCTTGCACACGAGGCGGAGAGCGAGGAGGTCCTGCACGGCCACGTACTGCATCACCTCAACGAGCACGTCGTCCGCCAGGTGATCCATAGCCTGCAATGACACGTTGATGTCAATTCGTGGATATACTCGGGGATCCCAAAAGGGTATTCCGCTTCTCAACGCACCGGAACACACCCTGCTGACGAGATACCGGGAGCGTATTAAGGGGGGGGGGGGCGGAGAGGGGAGCGGTGCATCGAACGTTGTCTACATACAGGGGTTTTGTAGGACAAATTGCCTATCTTTAGGTGGTTCCCCACCCCCTCCTTAATACGCGCCTGCGAGTAACACAATGACTCAATGGTTTTGTCTAGAAAGCCTTAGCTCGCCGGTGCGCCGACGCGTCCATTTTAACCAGAAAACTCAAATACCTACCCCTATTTTAACTATTTCCTTCAAAAAGTGTTCGTTTATTGGTCAACACGAAGTGTTAACGTTTCTGTATTAGCTCTTAGGTTGATCATTGATATCTCCAAAAGCCATGGCTCATATTCCACGGCAATTCGAAGTGAGATTTCGACCTGCATTTTAATAGCGAAATATACACACTGTTGTGACGCAATTAACATTACATTGAATGATTGAATGTGACGTCACAGTATTTGAATAGCAGTGAAACCCCAAGCTGTTGTGCCAAATTCACGTTGCCGTTCATTTTGCTCGATTTTGCCCAACCGTCGTTAGGTCGCCGCAGTCGCACCTTAATTTCCGTCTTTGGGTGACCGCCTTGTCTGTCGTGTCGTTGTTGACTGCGAGTCGAGACTGACAGCCTCCTGGCTGCGCTCGCGGCCGGGGCCAGCGACTCGGTAACTTTGGGGCTGAACAGTGGGAGAGGCGGTGGCCGCCGGCCTCTCCCGACCGGCCCACCGGAAGCGCACTGAGCACCTGAGGGTAGACAACCTGCGCCCGGCCTCTGGCAACCAGCCTAACAGGCAGCGCTTGTAAATAAGAGGTCTCAGAAAGAGAGCGCGATGTTGTGAATCCAATTTCATGACGCCTGGGGGACCGATATCAATTACATTGCTCGTTTTGAGTCAGTTTTGCGGCAGCGGCATTTTTAGTTAGAAGAAGACTCATTTTGAGCCATTTCCGCAAACATCGTTTTAATTAGAACGTGTCTTAAGACACGTGCTCCATTTGGACTAGGGAAATCACTCTAGCTTGTACAGAGCTCTGTAACCGAAAGTTAGCGTGAGTTGTGCACACCACGGTGTACAGTACAGAGATATCTCTCTCCACCGTGGTGCACACATGCCTGCTCCCCGTCAGTTCGAGCAAATACAATGATACAATGATGGCTTGGCTCGAGACTTCTAGGTAGTGAGTTGTAAGATAAAGTAATTATCTGTAAACGGTTAATCCGGAGGACAGGGCGTAACTTCGCGTTTTAGTCAAGGCCGCGGTATTATGCGCCACGCGGCTACGCACAGTGACCTCTCGTTTTCGAAACTTTGGGCGGGGAGTCCTCGCCGACGCCCGGCTGGAGGGGCTGCGTTCGCCCAGGGATGGCATCTGTGCGCCATATCGGCACCTGTCCCACTGCCCTATATCGGCATATACTTGCCTCTGTCATCGTGAGAGTGACGCGGACGCACCCCCTCTGCCGCCAGGGGATGCGAAATATTAAGGCATGGCGGTGTTTGGGGGGCAGCCACTGACGAGTTATTCACATCGGACAGAGAGCCAAGTTCGGTTCGGTCCAGGACGCCGTCGGGGCAGTCGCATCGGACCAGCAACTGCACTACGCGGTCGCAGGTCGCCCGCCTGCTCAGCCTCAGCCCCCGGACCGACACGATTCGTGTCACACGAAGGAACCCCCTTCCCGTCTCCGCTCCCCGCTGCAGCCGCGCCGGCGATCAAGAGAGCTGCCCAACGAGTGTCCTCGACCTCGAGCCGACTGATTTCCCCTTTCGCTATGCCGTGATTCTGTCAGTTTTGTGTTACCCTGAGGCTGGTGAGTGGAAAAGCAGTCTTGTGAAAATGTCTAAGACGGAAATATAACTTGATTATGTTGCCCCCTAGATTCACTGAAAGTTACTCTATGTAACAACACGTATGTGTACGTGTATAACAGTTGTTACATTCATAATTTTACGTTACCGTTGTTACACAAAGTGGTATACGTAACAAATGTTGCATAAACTAAAAAGTGTAACGGCTGTTACACTGCAAATTATGCTCGGGACGCATAGCTCTAAAGTTGCAATTAACAAAAATCATTTTGTAATACAAAGTATTTGTGTAACACCTGTTACTGCATGTAATTTGTATAAAACTGTTACGTAAAAAAATGTGTATAACCGATGTTACACACGCACACGAACGTAACAAATAGCTTTGTATTATGTTACATAAAGTGATTTTCAGTGTTAGTGGTGTGCTTTTGTATCTGACTTGCTACCACCTTTTAATCATCGTCAATGAAGTGTGAATGTAATGTGCTATACGTGATGGGTGCTGATTTGGTCTGAGGTAGGGCCTTGGCTGCTAGGGGAGGTCCCCGACTTCTCCTGGCCGGCCCCACACCAACGCCAGCCTAGGCGAACGTCGTTAGTCGGAGGTCGGAGCTCGAACCTTTAGCCCTGCGGACCTACGAACCCTGAGCAGGGCGCCTGAGGGTGTCCGTAAGACCAAGGGCTAAACGTTAAGACTGGAGCCTGCAGATCTGAATAATGCCGGTCACAATGGTTGAGCGTTCGCCGAAGCGACCCTCTGCGGCCACCCCCGCGCACCGCGGGACCCGCGAAGCCCCGCGTAGCCCGGCACCGCGGCGCGGCAGCGGCCGTGCACGTGCACAGCTGCGTGCGTGCGTGCGCTGACCACGCCCGCCATAGCGCGCGATAAAATAAATACACGCAGAACAACAAAGCGCAAAGTAAAAGTGGGACGACTACACCGCGCAATCCACCCTGAAGTCGGCAAAATGTGAGGCATGCAGCCTGGCCGGCGGCATCTAGACCGGGGGAGAGGGCAAGCGGGGAACCCAGAAAAGCACGTTCTTGGAACAAGCACGGAGCTCTTCGTGATTTTATAGCTCGGTGACCAAGCAAACCAGGCCGCGGACCCCCCTCCCCCCCTCTCTCCCCCGCGAAACACCCCACTTGCCCGCGGACCAGCCCGCGAGAACGCTGGGACTTACTCGCAGATGATAGAGGATAGGACTTCTGTGCGGTGCTTGATTATATAAGCGTACGCGGAGTACATTCGTGGTTTTGCAACTTAGCACATGGGTGCCCTACTGGGGTAATCAGGTGTGCACAGACTTGGTAATCACTGGTAATCCCTGGTAATCAACACACTCGTGAGGGTCCTTTCAAAGTAGAAATTTGTTGGTTAAGTCATGCACTTTTGGGTTTGGGCTCATCTTGCCCAAATGCCCCCCCCCCCCCCCATGGACAAATAATAATTTTTCCAATCATGTAATGCAAATTTGTAACTTGCAAGATAAGGAATTAAGAACTACCTAAGATGCGAACAAAATGCAACTTTCTCGATTCAAAAAAATGGCCATTTAGATTTAGAATACAGACGAAGCACACTACTTAATATTCATTGGTAATCTTAGTAATCGCATTGGTAACCTTTGGTAACCTTTGGTAACCTTTGGTAATCACTGGTAATCACTGGTAATCTTTGGTTATCATTGGTAATCTTTACAATTTGGTAATCCGGTGTACACATTTTTATGACGTTAGGCACCCCTCGACATAGTCGCAAGAACACTCAAATTGAGTACATTTCATTAGTGCAGTGCGCCGTTATTAAGATGCAGTTAAACTTCCCGCAATGTATCATATTGCATTGAGTCAACATATTGAACTACGCTTCCTCAAGAACATTTTGAACCTGGGAAAATGAACATTTACTTGGACGAAGAACCCATTTTTCTGGGTGCATCTTGACCGTGACCGGGTCGCGGTGCGGGCGCCAGCTGAGCTGGTACACATATGTGAGTTATTAGTCGAGATTATTAAATAAACACAAGCTCACCGTTGGGCAGGTCTGAGGCGTGCTGTCCGCTGTCAGTTGTCCGGCCTTCGTCGCTCTTGGTTCTCCGTGTAGATCTGGCTGGCCTCCTCGCCAACACAACTCCCTGGCGGTCACACTGTAATGGATGAAACGATAAGATTGGTGATACGATCGGGAGAATGAAATAAAAACAAATCCTTTGTCATGATGCAAGACATTTAACATCGAAGGAAAACTGGGAGGTTAAATAAGGTACGCGTGAACTAAGTTGCTGTACACTAACCTATAATCAACAAAGCGGCGAAACTGTTTTGAGTTGAAGATATCTTCGTTTTGCCGTGTTTGGCTAAGGTCTCCAGACTACAAAAGCGGATCACTCGAGTTGAA